GGGGCGTGCGGGGCGTTTGCCGAGGCAGCGAGGAGTTGTGAGCCCGGGCTGTGGAATGGTGGGGTGTTCCACGGCAACGCGTCAGTCACTGGTGGAGAAGTGAACTGGAGTGAAATGTAAAAAGGCTCAGTTGGAGTGAGATGGATCTGAGGGGAACACTGCTGGCATCACTGATTGTTTTCCATGGTGGGTCTGTGCAGCGTCCATAAGGCACTGGCTGGGCAAAACAGGGATGTACGGACACGCGGCCTCGCTGCCCGTGAGCTGGGGGGTGGTGTGACTTTGGTGTGTTTGGAGAACGGTGTGACTTGTAGGTACTTGGAGAACAGGGTCACTGTTATGTGCTTCAGTGAGGGAATAAGCACATTTTAAGGTCAGCTACTTTGACAGGCCACAGTTGAAGGTACTTTGGGAAAAGGTGACTGGTATTGTTCCATCTCCTCTCGTTCCCTGTCACCGCTGACATTTAAAAGGTTGATTTGTTGCCTTCCCATTTTTTCCCCTGTTGCCTCGCAGCAAAAATTGTAGACTTGGAAGAATTAAAAGGAAATAATCCAAGTTTGCTGTTCCTAGTGATGCACCCGTGTCCTTGGTTCTGTGATAGTTCTGTATTTGTGTGGCTTCATAAAATACCTACAGGGTGGAAAGAAGGTACTAGAGGTAATCCCTGATTTCTTCTAATAATTTTTAAATTCATGTTGAAGTGCCTCTCTGATTTTTAGCCTTTTAAGAGTAAATTCACCCTGAGATGGAAACTATGAAGCTACAATTGCACCCGTAAATGTTTTCTGCTCTTCGGTGAAGAGCTCTGCTCCTCAGGAGGGTTTGCAGAGTTGGCAGCGTTCCCTTTGCATACCAGGTCTTTTCTAAAACTGAAAATATTCATTGAGTAAATAAGTGTATCAGTAGAATAAATACCTAGTGTTCGATTTCACAAGGGAGTGACAGGACAAGGGAATGGCTTCCCACTGCCAGTGGGCAGGGATAGATGGGATATTGGGAAGGAATTCCTCCCTGTGAGGGTGGGGAGGCCCTGGCACAGAGCTGTGGCTGCCCCATCCCTGGAAGTGTCCAAGGCCAGGTTGGATGGGGCTTGGAGCAACCTGGGCTGGTGGAAGGTGTCCCTGCCCATGGCAGGGGGTGGAACAAGAGGGACCTTTAAGGTCCCTCCAACCCAAACCAGTCTGGGATTCTGTGATTATTACCATGAATGGAATTTAGCACTGGTATAAATCAAGGTAATTATTCTCACCAAATCTTTCCTGCTTGAACGTTGGACCTTCTGGAAGGGTGATATGGGCTGACACAGGGCAGAGCCAACAGAAGGGAAGATGAGGAAATCGTCTGATTTCCTCATCCCCTCATGTGTAAAGAATCATGCCAATATTTATTTACTTCTTTTAATTATTGTTTTCTCTTCCTGGATTTAGAAATCCAGGTGGTGTCTTGGCTGGAGAGCAGGTGAAGAAGATTTGAGATGTCTTTTAGGCTGCTTTAAGCGCCTGTTTTTTTATTTCTAACACCTCTCTCAATGAGAGCTTAAGGCTTGGATAAAGACAACCCTTTGTCAAAGATTTTTCACACTTATTGCCACTTAAAAAAATCCCGGAGACTTCCAGAGGTCTCAAAAAAAAAAATCCTAGAGAAGATGGATTTGAAAGGAGGGCTGGTTACATTTAAGGTTTACTAAAAAAATCCCAAGCAGGAGGGGGGGGGAAATCTCTTCTGGTGCTCCTTTGCTTCTTGCAGAGTGAGAAGGGAGTCCAAGAAACTTGTAATATTTGTAAAATGTCATTGTTGGGATGTCGAGGCGGGATGAAATCCTGTTCTGGATTTGAGAGGACTAAATACGATCCCACTGGAACCAAGTTTTCAGATTTAATGAGAAGAAAAGCAGCGTCTGCTGTGCTTGAGCGTTTCATTTTCTTGGCAATTTCTGGTTGTAGTAATGGAAAAGTAGACGATACTCAGGGAGGAAATAAACATTTTTTTCTTATTAATATAGTAAAATCAAACTCAGTTGAGCAAGTAACAGAATCTGGTGGATTGTCTATTTAATTTTGAAGAGAGAGCAGTTTTACATGCTGCTCAGCAATCGCTGAGATATTAATAAACGTTTAACCTCTCTTTACTTTGGGAAGCAAAACCCCACCTGGCCTTGAAGCCTTTCAAAGCACAAGTGTTTTTTTCTGTTTAATTTTTAACACATTCTGAATTTTGCCACGTAAATATTAAGCCCCTCATACCCTGTGGCGAGCAAAAGCTGCCTCATCCCCTTTTCACTCTGCTCCCACTCACTGTGCAATATATCCAGTTTCATTTGTCAGGAGAATAATTATTTCCTGCAATTTCCGTGGTACTCCCAGGGATTTTACAAGCTGGAGATTCTTACGGCCTCTTTATAAGTGGAAATGTCCAATTTTATGAAATTATTAAGGTCTTTATGGCACTGAATTCTTCTGAAGCAGAAGAACTCGGTCACTCCGGTCTCAGCTGGCAGGTGGAAAGTTGTGTTTCCTCAGGGAGGTGGGTCCTGCCTCTCTCCCGGGGGTGTTTGGGACACACGGTGGGTGTTCAACACCAGTGGGAATGTTTGTGCCTGGCACTGTCCTGTGTGAGCTGTGAGAAACAAGCAGAAAGGTGGTGAAGGAGAAGTTTGGGCTTCCTTGCTTGTGGTTCTCAAGAGCTGCATGAAGGAAATAACACTTCGATTAAATGGGGATGATTTTCCTGGACAAATTGCTCTACAGATTGCTTAAAAATTAAAAAACAACCCAAAGAAAGCCTTTATTTCATAAAGGTTCACACTTTGTTGTGTTGGCTCTCAACTAAGCTTTGATTTCAATTGCTATTTGGAGGCCTTTGCAGGTAATGGAGCTGCAAGGGAGTAATTGAGAAACTAAAACCAAAAAGAACATGTTAAAAATAACCGATATTCTGTGAAGCTGGGCTTTATTCGGGGTATTTTGTGGCCTCTCTGAAGTTGCCCACCGGGCTGAGGTGGGGAAGCTGCTGGATGTGGGTGGTTCCTGTGTGGATTTGAGGAGGAATGTGTGTTTTGAAATGTTCTTAACAGGAGATTGCTCATTCCCCACCCATATCGTGCAGAAGGCTTGATGGAATTTTTTTATCACCTTGCAAGAGTAAAAAAACCTTGAAAATTATAATTTTCCGCCACCAGAAGCCTCAATTTCTCCGTTTTGGTGATTCAGACGCAGACCACAAATGATACATTAGCAAACATATTTTCTGTACTGTGTCATGGAAGAAGCTGGATATGGATGGAAGCTGCGTGATCCCATAGGAAGCAAACCAGATTTTGTTTGTGCCCTGCCCAACCTCCTGGAAAAAACAACCAGCCTCCTTTTTTTTTTTATTTTGTAGAAAAAGCTCTTTTCTAGGCTGCTTGTTGAGGTGCTCTAGTGCACTAAAAATAATTTCTGGGCTTTTTGATCCAGTTTTGTAATGTCAGATGGCCTGACCCATCTCTTGCTGCTCCATGTGTTAGTAATTACTTTAAAGCTTTGCTGCAGGGATGTGCTGAACCACCTCAGAGTGGGACGTTTCGCTCCCAAAATCTATGTTGGGAGGAGATTTAAATTATTTACAAAATCCTGGCAGCGTTTGATTTCCTGTAGGTGAAGTCCAGAATGTGGAAGTGGAAACACCCTGTGTGTAAATGTACAGATGAGCGACCTGAGATTTCCTTTTGCCTTTAATTTATTTTTTAAGAATGTTTACTTAGTTGTCCATTTTCAAGGGTGCTGGAGGATTCACTAAGTTAAATGAATAATTTCATATAGTTTGCAATGTAGTCACCTTTAATTTATTTTTAAGAGTATTTATTTGGTTGTGTCGTGGCAGAGATGCTGGAGTTGGATGAATAATTCCCTATAGCTTGTAATATAAAATAGATACTGTAGAATTAAAACAGCAATTTCAGCTTAGACACAAAACTGATTTTATTTTCACCAAGATCTAGGTGAGCACAGTCATTCCAGCCCTGCTGAAATCAGGCAGTGGGAAGCAGTTGCATGTATAGATGTTTGAAAACTGAATTTTTTTAATAATTCTAATAGCTGTACCTTAAGTTCTCATGACAAGTGGGCAAGGCATAAGGTAATTAGAGATTGGTTTTAATTTTAGATTTCTCTTAGATGAAATTCTTTCTGGAGCAAGGAGTTACAGTTGGAATGGAATACGTGTGTGTCTTAATATTGAAATAAACTGATGGAAAATACTGCCAAGAGAATTTTAATCATGGGAAAAACAGGCTCCCTGAAACCTCCAGTGTATTTTATTTTGTATGGGACTTTCTTACCCTGCGTCAACAGCTGAAGTGAAAGTAGAAAAAAGTGAGTTTAGTTTCATTACATAATGCAAACCTTTCCCTACCATTGTCTTCATCTCCTCCTTCCCGCTTCGTTGCTGCCAGAAGTGATGAATCACTGATTTAGCTGGGATTTGGGATTTTGAGAGGGTTTGGAGATGCCTGTGCTGAGAACAGATGAAAAATCGGGAAAAAATGAGGTTAAATGTAGCTGTTTAGTCTTTATTGAAGAATTTGTGAGATGGCTTTTGTCGAGGTTCAGTAATTCCACATAAATTTTGCGCTGTAGAGATGAGCTGCATATTTTTCATGTCTTCTGGTTAGAACGACAGGGTTGAGCACGCTCCTGTTTGTATGGGAAAAGAATTAGGTTAAGATTTAAAAATGAAAATTAAAGAATTTCATAGAGTAGGAAGCCTTTTCCATTATACAAAGGCAACAGTAAATCCTGTTAGAGTCAGGTGAAACCTCATCTTTACCTTTTGTTCACATAAACCCATGTGCTGCTTTGATGTTCTCTGTGCACAGCGAAATGTGAATTAGGGAAAGGAAAATTAAAAAAAAATCCACCTCAGATACTCGCAGGTTTTTGTTACCAACTGTCGAGCGTTTCCACTTTGTTCTTCCTTGTGTTTCTGCTCGTCTCAGCCTGTGCTGCTGCTCAGCTAAATATAACCGAGACCATCCTTTAAATGTGGTTTTTTTACCCTTGGGACTGTATCGAGTTTCTTGAGATTGAGCACAAGCAGAACGTTTTCAGATGGCTCTGGAGACTAGAATACAGAAAGCAAACCTTTATACATGAGATCTGGCGAAAAAGACGTATCCGCACATGTGTAACCACATAAATAGATCCTCCCGTAGAAAAAAATGCGATATATCAGAGATCTCCTCACGGGCGGTGAGGAAATGGTGCCTCGGTGCCCTTGGGAGGGACCAGCACAACCCGCCCGTCCCTCAGCCTCCGCCCCAGCTGCCGACAGCCCGCATTACCTCACCCCTGGACTCGGCACTAATCTATTAAAAATGTGCGTTGCATAATAAGATTTTTATCTCGCTCAGAAACCCCGCCGCTTTCTCTCGCCTCACGGCCGGCGGAGCGCGGCCGGCGCTGTAATGGCGGCGCGGCCGGGGGGGCGCGGGCCGCCTCGCGCCGCTGTTTTTGGGGAAAGACGGTGTTCTTTGGGGCAAAGCGAGTGTTTTTGAGGGCAAAACGTTGTGTTTTTGAGGGAAGAGCAGCAGGTGTTTCGGGGGAGAAAAGCGGGTGTTTTTTTGGGGGAAAGCGGGTGTTTTGGGGGGGGAAAGCGGGTGTTTCTGAGAGAAAAGAGGGTGTTGGGGGGGGAAGCGTGTGTTTCCCCAAAAAAACACTCCTTTTTCCCCGAGAAAGCGGGTGTTTGGGCGGGGGGTGGGGGAACGGGCGTTTTTTTGGGGAAAAGCGAGTGGTTTTTTGGGGGAAGCGGGTGTTTCTGACGAAAAATAGGGTGTTTCTGAGGGGGGAAGGTCTGTTTTGGGGGAAAAGCGGGCGTTTCTCGCCGCGGTGTCTCCGCGGGCGGGGGGCGGTTGTTTGTGCTCAGAACCGGTCTGAGCCGGCGGGAGCCGGACCCGCCGCGCCGCCCCCGGGGCGGGGCCGCCCGAACCCCGCGGAAAAACACCGCGATTGCCACAAAAAACCTCCATTTTTAATTAAAATATTATAACAGAACACCCCCCAGCCCTTAACGCTGGAGCAGCTCTCGCTCCTGCGTGAAGGTTTTCCCTCACACAGCGCAGGGAAGGGAAGCAGCAGCGCCTGTGTCAGAGCCAGCTCTGAGGGAGGAAACCGCCCTCTCTCCCGCTCAACCTTCCAATTTTAGGTTGTTTATTTATTTATTTTATTTTATTTTTTTCAATGCTCTACAAGTTAAGCACCGGTTTCCCCGCTGGAGGGCTGAGCCCCAAAAATCCCCAAAAGGATTTTGGAGCCTGTCCTCATATCCTAACACCACCGTTGCCGTGAAAGCACACAATTTCAAAATAAAATAGACATTTAACATTGTTAGTCCCTCTGGGAGAACTCATCCCCCATCTTTTAAATACATTGGCAATAATACTTTGAAACATTATAACCGAGTGGGGTTTTTTAATTATTTTATACGTCGTTTTCTTGGCATGAGCGGCCCAAAAAAGAGTGGACATTTGGCTGCAATTAATACCCCCACCCCTCACCGCACTCCCAGTAATTGTTGGTAATTGCTGGCTCTAAATGACAAAGCAATTAAGCAGCTTCCTAAATGTTCAGAAGTAGGTGTTTATCTAAATCTAGGCTGTCAGGCTTTGTTTCTGTGTTAGGGCCCAGAAGCTCAACTGCTTTCTCAAAGTGGCATTTGATTCTTCACAAGCAGAGGAAAAAAAATCATATCTTTTTTTCAAATTTATTTCAGGAAAGGAGTCTTAAAAATGCGTCATGTTAGGGATGGATGAAGTGGAAATTACTCTAGAAAAATATCTTTTGTTTTATTACAACGATAACTATTTTTATAATCTAAAATGATTTTATTGTTTTGCATTCTCTTAAAGAGATTATTATTTTATTTTCAGTGCTGTAAAGGTTTCTTGCAATGAGATCAGAGTCTTTGGTAGTGAATATGAGGATTTCTGGCAGCTGAATCCAGATCCTTATGTGAACTTGCCTTTTCCTCTGCTGGGGGAGGAAGACCCACTGTGTGTTAAAAATAACATTTTTAAGTCACCCCTGGACAGCTGCTGGTCTGTGGGAGCTGGTATCTGGTGTGAGATTTGGTGATTTCAGATCTTCCTAACCTCCTTATTTAGGAATGGTGGGAAAAACCTGAGCTGTATGGAAGGCATTGCTCTCACCAGCGTTGTGGGAGACTTTGGGCTATTCCTTAAATCCGTGGGAGCTGCTAAAAATTGCTGTTTTCCCCAAAGGTCAGGTGCTGTCGGTGGATTGGGTTTGACTTTGGGGTTGTGCGTGCGCGTATTAACAAAATGGTCACTTCTAATTGCATTTTTAAGGCTTTGATTTCCTTCCAAGTATTTTGCTTAATCATCTTGAGTAGGCTGAGGGAAGGAAAGAATTAGCTGAGGTCAGGGAAGTTGAAGCTGCCCGTGTTACTGCTCAGAAGCTGGGCTTAGTCTGAGGGATCCTGGAGGCAGGAAGAAATTTGCTGTACACCGAGAGAGCAAGGGGAAATCAAGCCTGAAAAAGCCAAAGAAAACAGGGAAACGTGGGGTGCCTTAGGCTGTGATGGCTCCCTCACTCTGCGTGAGTGGTCCAGATTCTCCTTTCTTTGGGAGAAACACAACCGGGATGTGAATCATCGCTGAAATAGATTAGAGGGATCGGAGCCTGGAAGTGTTTGTCTGCATCGATGTTGGAGTCAGACAGCTCACATGGAGACACACCACAGGCACCAGAGGTGGGGGAGAGCATTCCTGTCCTAAAGACCTTTGGAATAATGGGCACTTTAATAATTTCTAATGAATATTCACGTGGTGGGATGAATAGCAAAAGGGGAAGGCTGTATTGAATGCTTCCTGAAAAATACCCGTCATTACGGTGATCAAAGGAGAAATCCAGCCCCCGCCTGGGCTCAACCCTATGGTGTTCCTATTAAAGCCTAGACAGAGCGTCCCTTTGGATTTGCAAATACAGCGATTTGTTGGCTGTTTTTTTTTTCCCCCCAAAGAGGGTGTTTCTGGCTCTGCCAGAGGTGTGGACGCAGGAGAACCTTCCCCTTAAAACCTGAGGGCTGGGAGAACAGCTCTCCTTGCAGCGACCTGGCATTAGCCTTAAAAACGTTAGGTTGTGCTTAAATAAGGTCACAGGGATGAGAATTAATGGTAAATAAGCCTTATTGGGGGAAAAAAATAAAAAATAGTATCATCCCCTAATCTTTGCCCGTTGAATTAACCGTGTACCTGATGGGCTTAGCTTTGTCCTTAACGTCCAGGCACCCTCCCGACGTCGCAAGTGCCCAAACCACTAATGATGGCATCAAGGTTTTAAGTGAAAAAGCTTCTTAGCAGGAGATTAGGGATCCCACTCCAGATCATCAGCTGGTAATGCCACTCGGAGAGGAGGAGGCAGTGCAGCACTGAGTGGAAAATCACAGACTTGGAGAGAGGCGAGGGCTTCAATGTTGTGTGGAGAAATAATTTATGTGCTGGGATGTAGTCCTAATTTTTTAAAACCTTGAAGTAAAGTGGAGTTTCCAAAAGGAGGAAGAATGAAATGTGCACTATGTAGATGTCATGTTAATCAAGTCCTTGCATAAGTATTCATTAAGTGCCTAATATAAGAACAAAAATAGCTCTGGCATTAGGAAACAAGACTTCTCTGTGATCCCTCCTCGCAACAGCCCCGTAACAAAGGTAGGGAGCTGTTGTTTCATTTCTGGTCCTTCCAACCACGAGTGCTGTCTCCTGTCTGGAGAAGTGAGACGCGGAGCCTTTTAATTCCTTCTCTCTGAGAAATGTCTGGGCTTCCATGTGCAGTTGCTTTATTTAGCTCAAAGTGATGGTTTTGGCTCGAAGACACTCTGAAATCCAGGATGGCAGGAAAAGTACCTTTTGGAGAATCCTTTCTACGAGAGGGAAGTGGTTTTCAGGGCCATCTCATTTCATGATTACCTGATATTCTCCATAGATGTCCAGAAATTTTCATCATTTTTATACTTGGGCGAAAATACGAGAACTTCATCAAGCCCTTCAAGAATCAGGAGTAATTAAGACACATCTCCAGCAGATCCTGGCACTAAGGGCATTCACGTGTTTATTATCTTTCATCCGTTTGGGAGTAGAGAGCTTTTCTAGTGCGATAACGTGTGAAAGAAAGGCACTGTTCTCCCTGAAAGTGAATTCCCAGGAATGCCGGCACTGGGTCCCCGCAGACAAACAGTGCCAGGCTGGGCTCAGGGAGATGCAAAGTGTCCTACTTACTGTGCCTGCTACAGGTCTGACCTCCTTGGATCATCTGACACCTCGTTGGGTAAGAGGTTGCTGCAAGATCTCAAACCCTCAAATTATGTAAGATTTACACACTTGCTTTGAAGTTGGTCCCTCCCTTCCATGTTTGTTTACTGCCTGGTGTGTCCTGTTGGATTGTGAAGGATGACTAGTCACAGAAAGGGAGCTGTTTGGTTAGTACAGATTTTCTGTTCCTCTTGGCTTTCTAAACGCGTGGAGCTGTGCTTATCCCTGTTCCGGAGTCTGGGAATACGCCGGGACGTCCTTCGCCGGCCGGGGCTTTGCTGGGTGAAGTTTTCAGTTTGTTTGTTTGTTTTTGAGGTGGAGGGAAGAGCAGAAAGGCTCATTGTGTTGCTGGAGGAGAAACAGAGATGGTATCTAAGTTGTCTCAGGAGTTATGTTGGGTTTGCTTTTTAATATTCAGTTTCCCTCCGACTTGGAGAAATCACGTGCGTAAAAAGGAAGGTGTTTAATTAATACTGTACGTGTGGCTGCCAGGGTTTGGGGGCTTGAAGCACCAGATCCCATCAGGGAAGCACGCAGGCTTTGCCTGTGGGAATCCCTTGGAGGACTTCTCTTCCATCCTGTTGTCTTCCACTGCTCCTCCTTTCCCAGCTGCTCCCATGTGCTGTGGAGGTCAGGGGCATACAGGCACTGGATCTAGGGGGGGTGTAAGGTATTGTTTTCTGTATTGTTCCCTACTTTTCCATTTTCCCCACAAATTAATTGCTCATCAATGCTTTACAATCCCTGGTCAATGTGATGGAACCGGCCCAGGCTTTTGGGAAGGAAAATCCATGAACTTTTGACCATGTGTGGAGATTTAATCACTAAATCGTAACAAACACCACGGAATTAAATTACAATAAGGTGCTTTATCAGAAGTTACTCTTAAGTGACAAACACTGTCATATGATACTGGTTTTCCTGGGTTGGTTTTGTTTGTTTTTTAATTTCTAGGCCTGGCATTACTCCCCATAGTTGCTCAACATAAAGATACATTCTTCCCCCCCAGCCCTTTATACATTCACCAGGCTGTGGCACTTTACCCGTTCCGTACAAACAGTCTTTTTTATTTTATTTTCATGACATCAGTATTTTCTGCCCATGTGAAATCTCACAAAAAGTTCTACTTTTAGTTGTATTTTTATTTGCATGTGGGCAGCAAAATGAA